TGCATATTTGCTAGTGTTTCTTGTTTTTAGAAAATTCTAAGTGCCTGAGACTGAGTGGTCCTTTTTAAAGATAGACATTAGACACATAGAGGCTTCCAGTGGAAACATTTCTTTGATTGCTTTCTTTTATTTTTTCTTTGTGAGAAGACAGGGAGAACTTTGTAATTTATCTATTAGAAACATACACTCTCACATTTGAATGTATGTGTTTTGTTGTAAAGTTGAATAATGATATTAATAATATTTTAACAAAATCAGTACTTTGCATCCCATGCCATCATGCTGCCTTTTGTGCAATTATCACAGCATTTAATAAATTTAACTTTTTCTTTGTATAATTCATTACTCATTCATTACATGGTCTTCTCTTGCATTTGGGAATACAGAAGTTTGTTTTAGTTTATTCTTCTGCAGTTTCTCTACTATTCCCTTTTACTTGTATGCTTTCTAACGGCATACTTTCTTCTGTATTGGCAGAACTCTGTAGAGATGAGCGAAATACACAGAGAAATGAGTGAAAAATTGTCAGAAATAAGTAGACTGCAACTGGAGTTGAATAGAAGGGAGGATGAAGATGCAGAAGACATGTCAGAGAATTTGAAAAGAGTAGTTGCAACTCTAGAGAGGGAAAACAATAATCTTAAGGTTGAAAATTTTGTGCATTTTAAAGTTGCTGTTATTGGAGAAGTGTCATAATATTTTTCAGAATTTACCTTGATTTTTGTATGAGACTGAATCTTTTCCAATTCTTTACATTAATGTATAGATGGAGAAGAGTGAACTTCAGGCTCTTTTGGAAAAGTGCAGAAAACCTTTGAATGACAAAATCTTTCCAGATGCTTCAGAAAGTCCGAATCAACATCGAAGTAGTTTGAAAGGGGTCAGTCTTCTTGTTTGTGTTTGTGTGTTTGATACATTCACTTGCCATACTTGCTAGGTAAAGTTGCATATGCATGTTAACCCCATGATATAGTAATGCCAAGCAATATTGTAGTACCCAGTGGGCTTGCGCTGTTATCCTTTGCTCAATGTGTTACTTCTTTCTCCCAAAAGGTAGAACTATCTGAAAGTTTCCCTGGAAGAGAAGAAATGGAGCTATCTTTGCAGAAATTGGATAAAGATTTGAAGGAAACACGCTGTGAGAGGGACAAAGCATTACAAGAATTAGGCCGCCTTAAGCAACATCTGTTAGAAAAGGTTGGCATTCCAGTATTTTCCAACTCATAATCTCATTTAATTTTTTTGAAATTTGTGTGATCTATGTTTTAATTTTTATTAGTTTTGTGGCTTCTGCTTTAATTATATTGAGGAGACACTTCAGAGTGAACTGCTCTTTCTTGCACATAATTATATTTCTCTTATGAAAGTGGCACATCCTTGTGAAAAGAATATGTTGATTCAATTCTTTTCCTGGGCAGTTCACCATTGTATGCTTTTCAATAATTATTAGAGCTACAGTTCCTTAACAGGGACTCTAATCATCAGTGCCAGTTGGAATGATTAATGACTTAATTGTTGTTTAAAGGAGTTTTTTGAGATATATTGACCTTTCCTCACTTTATTTTAATATGAAATTCGTTATTTTCATGCCAAAGCTTTGCTATCTTTGTCAATACCACTTCCTAGAACCTCTGCTAAATTCAAGTTGTGTTTAGGTTCATGTGTATTTATGAATAATTGTTATCTTCAAAATTTTCTGCATTGAAAAATTATAGATGGTCTCACTTGCTCAAGTGCTGTCTAGGAAAATGAAGAATCAGAAAAAATGGATGAGGACAGTAAAATCATTGAAAAGCTTCGTGAGATTAATGAATATCAAGTAGCTCAAATATCAAATTTGGAAAGAGCTCTGAAGCAGGCAGTTGCTAGTCAGGAGGATGTTAAGATGATGAACAATAATGAAATTCTGAAGTCTAAGGAAATCATTGAAGATTTGAACCGAAAACTTGGAAACTGTATGCGGACATTGGATGCCAAAAATGTTGAACTTCTTAATCTTCAAACTGCTCTTGGGCAGTACTTTGCTGAAATTGAAGCTAAGGTAAACTGAACCGTAACTGTTTCCCATGTTTTTGACTCTTTCTGAAAGCAGAGACATCTGAATTTTATGCCCGGTTATTTTATCATGTGCACAGGGGCATTTGGAACATGAGTTGTCTTTGGCAAGAGAAGAATCAGCTCAACTTTCCAAACTTTTGAAAGTATGACCTGTCTTGCTTTGCTATTTGAAATATATCTGTAATTGTTTTCATATAAAATGCAATTCATATACCGTCTTTTGTTAATCTATTATAGCTGCAAGTTCCTTTCTTCAGGATGGGGCTTATAAGAAAGTACTAGTGTTAGTGTTTTGAAAAGTGGTTTTGCTTCTTGTTTTGAGAGTCTATTCCTCCTCCAGGATGCAGATCAAAGAGCAGAAGTATCAAGGAGGGAAAAGGAAGAAATCTTGGTCAAGCTTTCCCAAATTGAAAAGACAATGGCAGAGGGAAAATGCAGAGTAAACAAGCTTGAGGAAGATAATGCAAAACTACGTCGTGCTCTTGAGCAAAGTATGACCAGACTTAACCGAATGTCAGTGGATTCAGATTTTCTTGTTGACAGGTTAGCATGTTTAGAATTGTTATTATTTTGGTGAATTATGTGCTTACATAAAATTCATTGTTGGCTGCATAGATTATGGTATTAGATTAAGATATAGCTTGCGCCATGAAGGGCAACCTTCACCTATATAATAAAATTGGGAATTATTTCTTGTTGATAGTGATGCTTCATTGAAATGAATGACTGGCCGTATAATACAATGAACATTTTTTTAACAGATTTTCTTGTCTCCTTTATTCCTTTTCTCCTATGTTATGTTCTTAACCACTTTAGGAGTCATTAGCTGTAAATCATATGTGAATTGTGGGGTTGCCTTAGTTGAATGTGTTTTTTTGTTAGTAACAATCAAATCCAGACAGTTGATCAGTGAATCTTCGCTAGGTTCCTTTAGTGGGATCACCATCACCCCCCCATAACACAACTTTCACATCTCTTGCTGAAATTAAAGATTAAAAATTAAAATTCATCATGCTTGTGCTGCCGCCTTGAGGCTATAATTGTGATTGCTATATCGGTAAATTTACTATAAAAGTCTCTTTTGTCGAAAATGAATGCTTCCATTTTCTTTTATTAAATTATTGAATACTGCAAAATCTAAATCTTGTGATTGTGTATGTTGGCAGGCGCATTGTGATCAAATTATTGGTTACATACTTCCAAAGAAACCACAGCAAAGAGGTAAGAAGACTTCATGGTATGGTCATCAAAGTTTTAAGATGAAAATACTATGAAAAGATATCCTCCTTCATTTCATGACATGCTGATTCAAATGATTGGTTGGAGCATCAACCCTGGTCAGTTTTTGCTTTTAGATGATAATAAGAAGGTTATTGTTTCCTTTTCTCCCTGCCCTCAACTCCTGTCTTCTAGTTTTGAGAGCGATGCAAGGCAGACACTAGGTAGTGAAAGGACAAATCACACAAAAGCAAAGATCTATCTCTGAATCCAAAAGAAATCTGAATATGTCCATTAAATAGTGTTAGAGAACTCATCTAGCTATAAGAAACTGTTGATTTTGAGAGTTTTTGTTTCAGCCATGCACTGAAAAGAGGAAAAACAAATGCTTCTAATTCTCTCAACCTAACCAAAGTTGCTGCACTTGTGAAATATCCTCTTTAATTGGCTAAAGTTACCGTTCTTAATAAATTTCACTCATGCACCATTGCCATTGATGTGGGTTTCAGGTTCTGGATCTTATGGTTCGAATGCTGGGATTTTCTGATGAAGACAAGCAGAGAATAGGTGTTGCTCAACAAGGTTCTGGAAAAGGTGTTGTTCGTGGGGTTTTGGGCCTGCCTGGCCGCTTAGTTGGTGGCATCTTGGGAGGAAGTTCGGCTGAAGCACATTCAAACATGACATCTGACAATCAGGTTCATATGTTTTTAACTTTCACGAATTTCAGATATGTTCTTTAGAAACTACTTTTAGTAGGTTGCTCCAAGTCAGTTTAAGCTGTGAGTGGTTTCTTTCTTTTACCTTTCTTTTCTTCAGTGCTTATAAGACTTGATTGGTTTCATTATCACTGATGATTATCTACTAAAATATATCTAAATGTTTTGGTTATCACTCGATCCTTTTTGGCATACTTAATGGTTTGTGTAGGCGTGTGTGTGAACTTAGCTATAACTTGAAAAGGCTGGTCCTCTATGCCTGCCTTGTGTGACGTCTTCCTTAATACCTCTAATTTGAATTCACGGTTTTACTTAATCCTTTTTTTTTTTTTTTTTTCAGTCCTTCGCAGATCTATGGGTTGATTTTCTTCTTATGGAAACTGAAGAAAGAGAGAGGAGAGAATCAGCAGAAAACATGGCTCGATCGAAGGAAGATATACCTGGACAATATCCAACTGCAGAGACTAGTACACCAGTGCCTGACCAGCGAACAAACACACTTGGTGCTCCCTCTGGTTTCTCAAGATCGAGTATATCACCCAGCCAAAATTTTGATCCTCCACCTGCCCGTGGAAATTTAAGGTCATTTGATCATTCTGATTCTGAGTTCTCAACTGTTCCTCTTTCATCATCAGAGAGCATTTCTCGTCTCTCAAGACTATTACCCAACTACTGAGAATATGTTGAATTGTGTAATTAATCAAAGGTATAGATTCTTTGTTGATATTGTAGCTATGCAATCTGGTTCCGTCAATTCTTTTTATACACAAATAAGAAGTGTTTCTTTTATAGCTCATGTTTGTACTTGGTACACCAAACTGTATTTCAGCACATTAAATATTAAAATGCAAATCAAATGGAAATGGACAAACTCTGGCTCGACAATATTAAGAGGAGTTTTTTGTCATGATTTAGCCTTGCTGTCAAAGTGGAAAATCACCAGAGAATTGATAGCTATTATTACTACAGCCTCTTACGTAACTGTCATATAAAATGACAAAAGAATAATATTAATGATAATGAATTAATTTTTTGGGATAAAAAAAATATTTCTTTTTACCATACCGATACCAACAAAGCAACTATAGCTTGAGAGTAGGCAGGGAGGATGGTGGCAATGAATTATCAGCGAAGTCACCTTGGATGAGAAAAAAAGGCTACCATTGATGCCCACACAAATAAATAAAAAAATTTAATATAGAATTCTTTTTTCAAAACAATAAATCTAAACAATCAAGCATCATGCATTTCATACTAACATTTAAAAGCCTAACATGTTCATAAAATAACATGCATCACAGTTATCCTGGTGATACAAAACCATGTACAAGAAACTGCTAATATCAAAATATAACCATCGTTGTCACAGAATCACCTATAGTTAAAAGTGTTATCTGTAAGCTACCATAGAGCAGACAAATAAAATCACAACTCAAAACTAACCCCACAAAATGCCTAAACCAGTTCAAATTGCAAACCAAACACTTGAAACAAATTGTGGGGAAGCCAATTACAACCAATATATGGTTAGATAACAGAATCACCAACCAGTAATACCCACAGCCATCCGGATCCCCAAATACCAGCCATGACTACCTAAACTCGCTTGGCTTTCAATGGACCTTTGGGAATCTTACTCAGAACCTTTGCATCAAAAACACCATACTGTTTTTTGATCTCAATCGTAGCCTTCTCAGCTAAGGGGTCAACCTTGTCCTCATACTTCTCATAAAGAACAGGCACCGTGTGCAGCAAAACAAAAGCTGTATTTATAAATCAAGATTAAAGTTGAGCATCTTATTTAACAAACAATTATTACTATAAGCACACAAAGAGCTCCCAATGTACTTACATATATAAAACAAGGTCAAGAAGTTGCACCAACTCCCCACAATGGACAAGACCCACAAGGCAGCTATAACCTGACATCCAGAATATATACAGAATTCTTAATTTAGAAATCAACAATGAAATGAAAATAATGATAGCAGAAGCAAAAGATAATTACAATATAAACACTTCCCAAAATGCATAATCAAATAAGCATCACCAAATTAACAGAGCACAGTACGACAGTATGAGCCAAATAACATAACTAGCAATCAAGAACATACTGTTTTTGTCCACAAATAATTACGAATTCATTGATATTAAAGTATCTATTATCTAAACTAACAGGAAAACAAAGTTTAGAGGTTACATAAGATCCTCAAACCAGTAAAGCACTTTAGAAACATATTTCTATTAAAGGTAAAACATTCAAAAACAAGTTATACGGATAGATGATGAACATACAATGAAAAACTTCTTTAAGTCTCTTCCAGAGGCAATACTATGCAATACTGCCAAAGCCCGATTAATCTCAATCGTCAATGCTGAAGCAACCTGTAGAAATGGCTCCTCAGGAAGATGAACTTCAGGGATGCGAGGAGGAGCCCTACAAACAGAAGAAGTAAAGATTTCAAGTTATTGTTTACTTAAGTGAGCACAAGCATTTAAGTGCCAAAAGCTTACTTATTGATGAAGCTCTGAGCATTGGACCACAAGAACAAGACTGCAAGTGCAAGTATTGAAATGTGGCAGACCAGAGTAAGCAGGTGGTATTCAATCAACTCAAACAGAACCCAGACTGCACTGGCTACACCAAGTACACCAGCAGAAATCTTCTTGTTTCTCCATAAGACCACATCAGCAGCTGTAAGAAATCAAACACAAAAACAGTGAGAGATTGGAGCCTAAAATAACACCCAAAAATCTTACCATAATTTATATCAACTAATCTAAGCAAACATCTCTGGTTAGTTGCTCAGAAATTACAGTTAAGAAAACAAAAACAAGACACTTCAACTCTTGCTCCTTATTACCATTACAAGAGATCAACAACCGTGTCGAATATGATATTATAAAGAAAAAAAAAAAAAAAAACACTAAATTAACTTAAAAATCACCAACCATAATATTAGGTTTGATATTCCCTTTCTTTTGGTATAGGATTTTCTGTCCTTACTAATGATTTCTCAACAACCAACATCAATGAATCTCAAATTTGAATAAATTCCTACATTTTCCAATATTCCTGCTCTTTTTTCATCAACCATACAGAGGTTTCAAAAATCACTATAAAATAATATTTCACTTTCTAAATAATAACGAAAAATGTTCACAATAAGTCATTAAACAAACAATTAAGCCAATCTCCAAATATAAATAGACTTTAAAAGAATGAGAGAGTATCCATACGCTTTCCACCACCGAGAACATGGTGAACCGGTCGCTCCCTGCCAAACAAACGGTAGACCTTAGCCTTCACTGACGATGGGGAGGCCGGTTTCTGAGTTTTGGAATCCGAATCCGAATCCGAAGACGATGACGAATCGTGATCGTCACCGTGTATCTTCTCGCTTATCTTCTCCATTATCGACTCAGCCGGATTCTCCTTATGCTCCGCTTGCTCCGCCATGTTTCACGAAAACCCTAATTTAGTTCACAAATAAAATCTTTTTCAGTGAGATAAAGTGAAAAATGAATGAGACTCCTGATTTTTAGATACCTGAGTGAATGTGTTCGTGGGCCTATTTAAACAAATAATGAATACGAGGCTGAGGTTCAGGTTCGGGTAAATTTAAAATGAAAAAGTTGACGGCGTTAATATTGATACATGTACGAGGAGAAGACGCCGTTAGATTTGATTTTAAGTGGCGGTGGTGGTGTACGTTGATTCTTCCATCAGCGCTTTATGTCGAAACGTGGAGACAGCACAGAGACGGTGGATGTTTGAAATGTCACCGACCTTATAAAAAGGGATAGGGGACACGTGGCACTTTGGATGGCAGTGATGTGTCGTTTGGACGGCCAGTGGTCGGGTGAAGTTAACATCAGTGGGCTCCCTATTAGCTGACCTTAGGGATGGCCATAAGACTTGGGCCTGCAGGGATCCGTCCCACCCTGACCTGGATGGGGTGGAGTTTTCCCGAATCATTCGGGATTGGGCCCAAAATTAGTTCTAGAATTCGTGGATGGGCCGGGGCCAAGATAGGTCTTGCCCTACTCTGACCTCGTTTTGTCCTCATCCCGAAATCCCTAGCCCAGCCCGTGTATATATATATATATATATTAAAAAGTCAATCATATATATTATATATATCTATATTAATTTTAATATTTAAAAATCAATTATATATTATACATTATATATAATATATAAGTATAATGTATATAACATATATATGTTATATATTATACATAATATACTATTATCTATAATCATGTGTTAATACATAATATATATGTTATATACGTGTAATATATCATTTGGTGTTTTGGATTGATTATAATAAATCGATAAATCATTATAGATTTAATTTTATTTTTTTTGAAGATATATTATAATTTTGGGAAAATAGTAATAAGGACATAAAAAGACACAAAACCCCCAAATGGGGAATTCGGGAGTTTGGGGAACTGGTTTTATTTGAGGATTCTCCGAATTCCCCGAACGGGCTACGGGCTGGGATTGAGGAATCCTCTTGGGCTTTCAGGCTTGGACCGGAGACAAGGGTCCCTGACCTCGCCCCGACCCATGCCTATCCCTAACTGACCTTGGAAGAATAAACATAGATTGACAAACATTTCTTACAAACATTAATGTGATAGTTCGTAATTGGTCAACTCGCATTTGGTCAGATGAGACCCATTGTTGGATAGACAAAACCTATTACAAACTAACCAATTATGAGCCGACACGTCACATTTGTGAAAAAAAAGTTAATGAGAAAGATTTGTGAGTGTAATATTACTGTTATTAGAATATATAAAGTAAGGGCAGATAACACAAGGCTGTTTGTAGATTATAGAAAAATGTTATTCTGGAATTTATTTTAAGTTGAATTAAATTGAATTGAATCCGATAAGATTTTAAAAATATGTTTGATATAATATTTGAAAATCATATCAAGAGTGAATAAAATGATAAATAATTATTTGATATGTTTTTAAAAAGGGTTTTTATGATGGTATAATTGTTTGATACATTTTTTAAAAATATTTTATTATTTGATTCTGTAACTTTTTTTTTTTTTCTAATTTAACTAATATTAAATAGTTGTTTGATAATTTTTTAGAAAAATATTATTCTTACAAAGATTCATACAAAGAGAGCTACAAAATGACATCAACAAAGAAAAAAAGGGAAAAAGAGAAAGAGAGAGAGAGAAATCATGAAAATCAAGAGCGGGGATTATCTTTATATACCCCTTTTGTATATATCTTTGTAAAACTAGTATTGCTCAAATTTTTTATCACTAAATTTAAAAAAAAAAAAATTCTCTATAATAATTTCAACTACTAATACATAATTTAAAAACTAGAAATAAAAGTACATTACGATATCGAAAGTTCATAATTTTATAAATACATATCTAAATTAATAATAGTAAACTACTAGTTCAATCCTTAAAATCCTCACACAAATATTCCATCAACAGTTAGGACAAAGCTAACGCACACAATCCAGCTGCAACATCTTCTAGAACTCCTTCTTCTTCACATTGAAGGTTTCGCTGACGCTTTGTACGCCTAGACAAAATCTATACCTGTCCATTTATAACAATTTGTAAAACAATTCATATTTGCAGTACTTTGCAAAAAATAACATTCAATGTATAAATCACATTACAATCTTCAACATCTATAAAACATGTTCTTTCACATCGCAGAACAACACAATTTTCATCAATTCTTAAAATAAGAACTCAAATGAAGTTATGGAATAACCACAATAGTTCATCAAATCTCTAATCAAGTTATAACTGAAGTCTTCAATAAAAAGGTAGTAAAAATACCAACTGTTAAAGGAATAAGTCTCAAACAACAAATAAAACACATTTGTTCAACACGAAAGACAAACCTGTCAATTGTTAATGTCATGATGCACCCAAGCTGCCCTTTGCTCTGGTGTCATGTTCACAAATATCTCACGCCATGCCGGCCTGTCAACTAAGAACTTCACAACCCCGATGAATATGTTGAAATCCAACTCCATACTAGTCCAAATCCGCAGACAGTTTGGCATGGAATATAAAGTTGCAGCGCTTGTTTTAAAGTCATGATGCACCCAAAATGCCCTATGCTCTGGTGGCATGTTCACAAATATCTCACGCCATGCCGGCTTGTCAACTAAGAACTTCACAGCCCCNATTACGTATCAACCAAATATTATCTCCAAATAACAATCTAGTTTAGTTGGGTATTACTAAAGCGGCATTATAATTTAAAAGATCATAAAACATAGATAGTCTCCCAGTGTTTTGGCCCAATCTATAGATACTCAAACTGAATATCCATCACAGATAACAAATCATAAACAGATTAACGGAATTTGGTGCTGGAAATTCTGGCCTAAACTAGGAGCTTACTTAATTTTTTTTTTTTTTTTCTTTCCGAGTCATTTGTATGAAAAAGTTCATTTTAAAACCTAAACCTTTTTTTTTTTGTTTTTTTTTTTTTTTAATGATTGAGAGTGTTTAGATCAGTTTACATGTACTTCAATTAATCCCATAAAATCTTGAATTATTAATCGGATAAGAGTTCCAATGACCACCTTGATTAGCAATCGTGGGGACTTAAACTCGAGCACCCAGATACAATTGTTAGATGCTCTAATTTTTTATTTTTTTTCGGAATAATTCTTATTTAGCTTTGCTAAGCGTGGGTTTGTTAGGTAGTGGGAGAGTAATTATTGATCTTCCTAAATTTAATAAGATGTCTTCACTCTTTTGAACAAATAACTAAGGATATTGTTTAAAATGCTTCCAATAGAAAAACTTTTATTAAAAAAAAAGGTCCTTTATTCCTTTTATCACCTCTTTAGTGAATTATAAATGCATCGTACATTATTTTCTTTTTAAAACTTACCCTTCTGCACTCAATAATCAATTGTGTTCAAAGATTGATAAAATTAGCTGCAACTTGGCGGGGCCAAGATAAGACTGTGGTCCATTGCATCTTTAATTCCAAAGTAAAGTTCTCTCTTCCAACACTTTTTTTTCTCGCAGCCTCTTCATATTTATCGATTTTCTGAACAAAAACCACTATTCTTCAGCGGGTCAAAAGTTCACATGAATCCTGCAATGTTTTGAGCTTTCTGTGGTGTCTGGTCAACGAATCTTTCTTTATTTCTTAACATTGGGTTTGGTAGCTTCCAAGTTCCAAATACCCAAGAAAATTGCAAAAATACCCATTAATCCGAGAAAACTGCATTGACCTAGGAAATCATTAGCATAAAGTTTTTAATATAAGGTGCTCACATAATGTTAATTTACCAAAACAAGTAATCAATTCTCCTCTGTTCTCGTGTTGTTATATAAATATATTCTCATTGTAGCAAACTCTGCTTCCGACGATATTTCAATATCTATATATTTTATACATGTCTCTTTGCTAATTTGCAAAACAAAAATCTTTTGAGTAATTCAAATCAACTATGAAGATTTGGGCCTCAATCCCATTTTCGTTTTAAAATTATAGTTGGGTCAAATGTTGTCAATATCAGTGTAGCGTTCCACAGAAGTTATCCAACTATTGGTGTATTTTCTTGGCAGCGTATATGAATGTGTAATGGTGGAAGAAGTAGGGAGTTTGGCCCATGAAGTGGATATAATTTGGCTGACTTCATTTACTTGTAATGTAACCATCATAATTTATAAAAAGGCGTTACTGCTTTTCAGTTGGTTCATCTGGCACTTTCAGGTCTATTAAAAGTAAAGCAAAATTAGTGGACTATAATCATATTCTAGAATAATGAACAGGAATTCGGTTAAATTTCTTTGCTCGTCATAGAATCTTTTGCAGACGATGGAAAAGTCCCTCTATTCAGAAAGACCAGAATTCGATCAAAGTTGGACGGTTTATGATCAGAACAATCCTACTCCCTTAGACAAGTTTTCTTTTGGAAAATGATAAAGATCCCTGTCTGACACAAGGCATGAACTAACTAAGAAAGTGTACCTGTATGGTCACGCCTGAAGAAATTTAACAGGCAACCAAACAAGGCATGGTTATGATACTCCAAAATCCGACAGAAATAACTGAATTTGTCTCTCTTTTCTTTTTTAGCTCTGAGTAGTGAGTCAATGAGTTAATCATGCTGTAGGAAGGAAGCATCAAAGAACCAAGTGGTTTGACTCAGTCTAGGATATTATTATTGACCACCGGAAAGCAGTAAAATGCCATTTAAAACAATTTGTTTGCTAATCTTCCACCATAGATCTGAATTGTTTCAGTCCCCATTTATGCAGGCCTTCTGAAGAGAAATTCTGCATGTGTTAATTACTACTTAATCTGACCTTGTTCTTGTCCAATTATTTCAGGTTGAATCTGCTTTAAGTTCAATCCTGAAGTAGGTGAAGTTGATTTAAAGTTAATGATTAAAATGAAACTAAGAAGAGTACAATAATATATACAGAGTGAAAATTACAGCATACAGAAAATCATAATAACCGGAAATCAAAGACAAAAGGCAAAACTACCGTATTTTACATGTCAAAAACTGCTATCATAGGCATAATAAGCAGTCAAACTCTAAAGATCAACCTTTTTCTTGCACTTCTGCTCATGAATTCCCTGGCTGGAAATATTAAATGTCATGCTGCAATTCATGATCAGGGCAACATGCCTCTTAAAAACATTCAAAATATTCACCCTTCCACCAATTCTCGAGTAGCTGTCCACAGGCAAAAGCCCAGACGCATAATCCGATTGCAAATTCGGGCTGGACAACAACCGGTCTGTGATAATATCCACCGTCATATTCATGCGCAAAGTTTGTTGGGCCTTGGCGCGGCCGGGTGGCCCTCTGGCTTCACCCACAAACATGCCATGGTAATAAAGGCTTGTGGTGGTGTTACTGTATCTGTATGAAGCTACGTTTGGATTCTTCACAGAAATGTCTGCTATAAATGACATGTTGACACCAGGCTTCGGAATTGTACCGCTAATTAGTTGAAGCTGACTTACTGTAAAGCTATTTAATTTTATTTCAGGATCCTTCACACGGAACACCGTCAAAATTAGAATGATCATCACTATCGCTAGGATGAGCAATACAGCAGCGACGGAACCACAACATTTGATGCATTTTCTGCGGCAAACTTTCTTTGCAGTTAAACCCGACACCCCATCGTCGCTGCTCAAACGGTCCGTGGCCAGAGCTAGTGGCCATACTTGCTCTTTTTCTACCATGGCTAGAGACTAGATGACTAGGAGAAAATTTAAGGAGCTGTTGGCAATTTGGAAGGATGTGATACTGGCTACTGGTATGTGGTTTTAAAAAGTTTAATTGTTTGGTAATGTGAATGAAGTCTAATGTCGGCTATTATTGACTTCAAGTAATTAGAATTTAGTCTTGCGTCCGAACCAAATTTTAAAGTTGTTTTATATTTTTTCCACATCTTTTCTCAACCTGGGTATTGGACATCTTACACGTGGATGAATGGATCATCAGATCATGGACTGATGGAGTGGTTATTTAGGCACAATGAATGAAAAGATACTGTGCTTAATTCTAGTCGCTATCAAAGTTCCGCACAATATAATCGCTATTTGGTATATTATTCTTAGGAAATTAATATATAATGTAACAAGATAATAACTAGATTGTTTGATTCCCTTCCTCCCTACTTCAGAATATATATAAACTTGTAACCAGAGATATTAAAAATAAAATATTATAAGTTCAATAACAAAAATCTAAGCTGTCCATGACAATCAGAGAAAATTTTTGTAACACTACAAGTAATGTATATATTTTCAAGGAAATTCATTAAAAGAAAGAGAGCTCGATAAACCACTTAGATTGTGGCCGGATGACAAGACTTTGGGTTATCCAGAAGTCTTGTATTCGAGTCCCATAAAATGACCACCTACCACATTTGTGACTTACTTGGTTTATTGGGCTTGTAGGATATTTAATTGACCCTAGGGATTAGATTTGTGACTTACCTGGTCATTTGAGCTTATAGGATATTCAATGGACTCCGGGGATTAGATTTGTGATTTATCTACCACAGTTATGACTTACCTAGTCCACTGGGCTTGTACGATATTCCATGGACCCCGGGGATTAGATTTGTGTCTTACCTAGTCCATTGAGCTTGTAGGATATTTAATGGATTTCGGGGATTAGATTTGTGCTTACCTGATTCATTATACTTGTAGTATATTCAATAAACTCTGATGAATTAATAGAGGTGCGCGTAAACTGGTCTATAGACGGGGAGAATAGGAATTTGTGCCAACCTAGACAAGTTTTCTTTTCGAAAATGATCAACACATCACTGACATCAGCATAGTTATAAATGAAGACTAATAAGTGTACCAACCACTAACCATTTTCTCGCTGCGATTCACAAGGGAAGTAGTTTTCAGGCTATTCTAAATTTGATAAGATTTAACTTGATTCAAATGATAATCTCAAGCAATCAACCCAAGTTGAAAACATTTCTTCATTAAGAAAAAAAAAATTCATTAATAAACGAATTATGAAGTTATAACCACAGAAATTTTCAATGTATGCCACGCTGCAGTTGTGAAACAATTAATGATATGCAAGTTATAAGCTACAGGATCATCAAACCTATAGTTCTTTTTTACACAAATCAGATTCAATTCCTTGTAAATTTGCATCTAAATCAATATAAATCACATCCAAATTAATAGAAACAAGGTATTGCACAACAAATTATACAATAAAAACAAAAAGAAACATAAGGAATCATCCAAATACACATCACACAACTCAAACTTCCAGAAGTTGAATCTCCAATGGTTCCTTCTGTATCTAAAATTTTAAATGGAAAAAAAGTTAATATTAATCTTCAAATGAAATAAGAATAATTGTAGTATAAATACATAAATCTATTATAATAAATGTACTGTGATTCCTTTTTTAACTCCATTTAAAATACGACACCAATTGGCTCTACATAATAGCTTTTCCACTATTTTGGGAGACAATGAAGATCAATACGTGTCAATAACTCTACCAACGGCGTTGAAAGTAGCCTCTGAAGCCACCATAGCGATAAGAATGGCTAGTATATCACGAGCCATCCAAGATAAGATAGGGTACTCCAAAGCATTCGTCTTCCACCAATCTAAGGCATCGAAATCTTTAGAATCACTCCGACACTTATAACATGCCTCGCTTAGATAAATATCCTACTCATATTTATTTGGCTCAATAGTTTCAACCTCATCTAGAAAATCATCAAATTCCCATTTCGAGGCTTATGCTCCCGTAAAACCCTGAGGAATTACTCCTAGTTCAACCTTTTCACTTGTACCTCTGTGGGCTGCACTAGATGAGTGACTATCAGTAACATATTTGCCATATACCTCATACAAAGCATCTCGGACAGTTGTAGCATTTGCTCGTGCATCAAATTCAGAATACATCTTAGGGAAGGAATACTCAATCACCCTCATTTTGTACCTAGGGTCCAATATAGTTGCCATAGCCATCAACAAATTACATTCCCCCCCAGTACTTATCAAACTTTTCTTTCATTTTCTCAGCATGTGTCTAAGGAAATCATCTTCACTTTCACTATTTTTATCTAACAAGGTTTTGATTATACATACTTGCTTCAGAAATACATTTGATGTTGGATAATTACTCCCTGAGATGATATTTTGGTCATTGTACTAAAAACCTTTAGAATCTCACAGATTTTCTCTACTTTCACCCAATCTTCATCATCTGGAGAATGTTTGTAATCCTCATCCCGTACTTTGAGTCTTGGAAACACTTCTTTAAACTTAATTGCAGTTGACAACATGTCATAGGTTGAATTCTACCGTGTTTTACAATCAAGGATAAGTTTTCAACATGGCAAACGCAATTATTGCACAATCTCTGGAAAAAACTGTCACGTTCCCATTCTGACCGTGGGGCCCGGCTAGTACACCTAGGCTTACCCCAGGCCCACTCTACGTGACTCACTAGGTACTGTCTCCCCCCCCCCCCCCCCCCCCCCCCCCCCCTTCTTAAGGGATTTCTTTTCGCCTCCCCACCACTGAACCAAGACCAAGGGGCTATAGTCAATTGGGAAGCATGTGAGTAACCAGGCTAGTTTATTATCACGTCCCATTCTGACCATTGGGCCCAGCGGACACTGGGTCACCCTAGGCCCACTCTACGTGACTTACTAGGTACTGTCCCCCCCCTCTTACGGGATTTCTTTTGCCTTCCCCACACACTCGAACCCAAGACCAAGGGGTATAGTTAATTGGGAAGCATGGTGAGTACCATCAGGCTAGCTTTTATTTCACGTCCCCTTCTGACTGTGGGGCTGGGGTACACCTGGGCTCACCCAGTCCCACTCTACTGACTCATAGGTACTGTCCCCATCCCCCCTCCCCCCTTAAAGGATTTCTTTTCGCCTCCTACCACTCAAACCCAATAGCTGATCGTACATCACCATGCTTCCCAATTGACTTAACCCTTTGGTCTTGGGTTCGAGTGGTGGGGGATGCGAAAGAAATCCCTTAAAGGGGAGGGGGGGGGGGGGGGGGGGGGGGGACAGTACCTAGTGAGTCACGTAGAGTGGGCCTGGGGTGAGCCCAGGTGTATTAGCCGGGCCCTATGGTCAGAATGGGGACGTGACAAAAACCTTCAACCTACCCTCTAAACCATTGATGTATATCACAGTCTCATGGATCTTGTCAATGATATGCCTAATCTACAAAAGCCCATCTTGCACTAGCAAGTTTAAGATGTGTGCACAACATTTGACATGAATCATTTTGCCCCCACAACTTAGCTACCTTATCATTGTAAAATTTTCATTCAACATCTTAATTGCAACATCATTACTACTAGCATTGTCCACTAATATCGTTTGGACCTTGTCTTCAATTTTCCATTCTGTCAAACATCTGTAAATTACATCAACAATCTGCACACCACTTTTTAGAGGAGGTAAACAAGCAAAATTAAGAACACGTTTGTTCAACCTCCAATTATCATCTATCCAGTGCCTATCAAAACCATATACTCCATCTTTTGGTTGTCAGTATTCCACAAATTAGTGTCAAACTAATCCTCTTTACACTTTTCAGCAATGTCTTCAACTTTTGTTTCTCACTTTCATATACCTTCACACAATCACTTTTACATGTATTGCACAAAACCCTAGACCATTTTGGAATCCCATATTTCAGCAAGTTGTTCAAACCTTCCTCCTCCACAATGGTAAATGGGTGCTTATGCATAAGCACCCATTGTGCAACCAATTCCCTAATCATCATCATCATGTCAAACTTGTCGGTAAGAGCAGGAAGGACAAATGCTCCAACACTAGAATCAACCAAGAGAAAATTAATATGTTGTTGCCTAATGGAAGCTACTCGCTTCACACACCTTTGTAAAGTCTTGTAAACTATGCGGTGCTTCTAGATATAATCATTTGAAGCTTGTATTTACAATGGACACACTCTGCATTCTTCACACTATTAGGAAGGACCACTTTGTTAAATTTAGTCCATATGACAGTTGTCTTCGCTCTCTTTCTCCTTTGAAAGAGATTATCATTTACATTTTCATTCAACGGGCCACTAACACATGGCTGCTGTGTTTGGTCTGTTGTTTGGTTAGGAAGATGGTTGTTTGTTGCTTCTGTGATTAAACAGGAGTGGTGTTCTATCAGAAAATAATGAGAAAATATGAAATTACAAGAAATTTTATCACTAAAAGACACAAAAATACAAAGTAAAATTACACTTGAAAGTTTGAGAGAGAGATGTGAAGAAACATGAGACAAGCAATCACCTGAAGTACATCTTTTAGACCCATCTGTTTGAGTTTACCATTCAGTACACTGTAATATAAGGCAAGAACTATATCAGAATGTGCGATATATAAGGAAGTTCTATATCCTATTGGACGTAAATTAACATAGCTAACTTTTCACAAACTTCTAAATCTTCCACATCATCTCCATGGATAAGCAATCAACCTATAGTGGATGAAAAGTAATACCAGACTTCAAAATAATTTATTTCATTTCATAGTCTTGATGGTAGAAAAGAAACTACTAGCCACATCATGTTGTTGATAAAACTGGATTGTAAAGGCCTCTGACGATAAAGATTGTTTAAAATGATTGATCGGTCAGCTCCCCGTTGTAGTTGTAGGGATTAGAGAACTTAATTAATCAGAGTTCTTTCAGTCAAAGATATTTCAGCAGAATAGAAATCATAAATAATAGTCACATGAAACAATTAGGAAATGTTAAGAAGAGCATATTAGTTGATATTATCATCCCTTAATAACTATACGCATTCTATAACGATCACTTTCATCTCGGATATAATTGACTCC